CCCCGGAAGCCCCCCACCCTCCCTGCCACCTGCCTTTGTCTCAGACGCCCCTCCCTCCAGAAGGCCAGGGTAGCAACACGGACCATGAACCGGGCTGTCCTAAGAGCCTCCCGGATCACAGTCCGATTCCAAATTGTCCTGTCTCTTCCTTCTTGTCCAACGGTCAGCGCAGGTGAGAGGCGCCATCGCTCTCAGCTCAGCGGGGAGGATTGTGAGGGAAACCAGGCAAATAAACCCGCCATGATTCTCTGGGTGCCTCCGTCTCCTTCCTTCCCCTCCGCAGAGCCAGGCAGGCGAAGCGGACAGGGGATGGGTAGAAACAGGCAGTCCTTGACTTACAACAACCGACCCCAACATTCCCATTGCTGGCCGAGAGTTAAGGGAGCTTTGCCCCGTTTTATGACTTTTCTTGCCACTGTTGTTAAGCGAATCTCCGCACTTGTTAAGTTAGCCACACGGTTCTTAAGTGGATCAGTAGCTTCCCCACTGACTTTGCCGGATCCCATCACCCTGGGACACTGCAGCCGTCATAAACGCGAGTCAGTGGCCAAGCACCTGAATTTTGATCCAGTGACCACACGGAAAATGGCCATTGGTCACTGCCTTCTGTGCCATTGTAACGGTCACTAAGCGAATGGTTGCAAATGGAGGACTGCCTGCCGTCAGCGGAAGGAGGCGATGGGCAGAGACTCCGGTCTCCACAGGGTCCGAGAGCCAGGATGACAAGGGGCTGGAAGGGAGTGGAGGTCTTCCAGCCCAGGCGGCCCTGCACGGTGGTCTGGCAAATCCGCTTAGTTGCTGCCAGAAGATCCGGTGGGGAGCGGCAGCTCAGGGGGTGACTGAGAGGAACGGAGGAAGGCAACCTCCCACCTCCACAGGCAGAAGAGCCGTCTGCAGTCGAGCCCTTGGTCCAGCCTCCAGACCAGGGTGTCCAACCTCGGCCAACTTCAAGCATTGTGGACTTCAACTCCCAGAATTCCCCAGCCAGCTCGGCTCTAGAACAGGGTGCTGGGAGTGATAGTCCTTTGGCCCAGGTCAGAACTCTTCCTTTTGTAATACACCCATACCAAACAAAACTCCCAGGCAAGTTGGTTCCTCAACAGGTTTATTGGATATATCGTATTGGCACAGACTGGTGAAAACCGACTCACCTATTGAAAAGTAAGTTTTCCCCCTTTCCCAGACAGTCACAATGTCCAATCAAGGTGCTGTCCGGTTCCTTGGAAACTTCACTCCTCTCTTCAGCCACCTGTGGGATTGTCCTTGGTTCCCAGGAGAAACGATTTTGTTCTGGCTACAAAGCCCTGCCTATCTCTATTGCCCCCTCCCTATCCCTCAGCTCCAGTCTGGCCATGCAGAAGCCCCCAAGATGGCCGGTTAGGCCAGCTTCAGAGTTGACACGGTGGGGAGGGTGGGGAGGAAGGCAGCCGGGGGGGGGGGGGGGGGGGGGGCGGCCGCGGGGGGCCGTGGGGGCGGTGGGGTGCGCAGGGGGGGGGGGGGGGGGTGGGGGGGGGTTATGGCTGGCCTGCAGTCTCCCCTCCTTGGAGCGGAGGGCCCCATTTCCGCAAAGGTCCCTGAAAGAGGGGGGCCTGGAAGAGCTTCCCCACGTGGGGGTCACCTGCGTTGCCTCGTCCCCAGAGAAAGGTCTGGATAACTGGAGGTTGGGAGAGAAAGACCCCCTCCGCTGCCCCTCCCTCCCAGGCCCCAAAGGGGCTTTGTGGCGGCTTCTGTCGGTCCTCGGAGACCCTCCTGGGCTCTCCAACTGGCCTGGCCATGCCCTCCCTCCAGAGGGGGGGGGAGCCTCCAGCAGGCGAGGCAGCGGAGGTTAATCCCCCTCGGAGGCTCCCCCCCCCGAAGGAAATGCGGGGAATCCTCAGCCTGCCGTCCCCGTTGAGCCCAAGGCAGTTGCTGTGGCTTGAGTGAAAGGTTTAAGTCCGTTTTGCCCCGTTTTATGACCTTTCTTGCCACAGTTGTGAAGTGAATGAAGCTGATACCATGGTTGTTAAGGGGATCTGGCTTCCTCGTAGACTTGGCTTGTCCAAAAGATGATCACGCGATACCCCCCCCCCCCCGAACCCCCAGGACACTGCCGCGGTAGTCAGTGGAGGCCACGGGCCGCCCCCGGAATTTGGTTCCCCTGATCTTGAGGATGCTGCCACGGTCCTAAGTGTGGGAAACAGCCACCAGTCTCTTTTCTTCAATCCTGTTGTGACTTTGAACGGTCACTAAATGAACTGTTGTTAAGTCGAGGACCCCCTGCTTGCCAGTAGCTCCACTGCAGGGGCTGCTCTCCAAGATGCCCTCAGTCCTGGAGGCCATTTTCCATGGGGAAATAGATGCATCTGTGGCCCCCCGGCTGGAAATGGGCCTGCAGGCTCCCTCGGGTGGGGGGGGGGGGGCAAACGTGCCTCTCCACAGAGGCCCCCAGGGAGCCGACCCTCCTCTCTCAGGGCCCCGGAGCCATCGGCCTTCACCCCACACCTCCTGGGTGGCACCTCTTGCCCCCCCAGGCCCACCCTGGACTGCCCCGCCTGGCAGCTTTGGTGGCACCCCGTGCCCTGACTTGGCTCTGGCATCCTCGGCTGGGTCCCCGTGCAGAAAGCCCTTCAGAGACGGAACTGCCCCCCCCACCCCCCCAGCACCCTCCCTGCTTCCCCAGCCGTCGAGCGGCAGGATCAGCTCAGAAGCCGACTTCTTCAGTAACCAAGTTTAGCGTTTGTGCAAACCCAACCCTGACTGGAACGGCCCAAGGCCTAGTCCCAGCTTCTTTAAACTGGCCGTGTTCCAACTGAAACTATTTGGACGGAGGAAGATCCGGCTGCCCGACCCCCCTTGGATTCGGAGGAACCCTCCCGCTTGGCTGACGGAGGGCCGGCTTGGAAAGAGGAGGCGGCTGCTTTAAGAGGGACCCCACAAAGTTGTAACTTGAAGCCTCTTGCCGTCCCTGTGCCTGTTATAAACGCCAGGCTCCCCCTGCCCTGCGCACACCGCCCTGCGGGCCGGCTGGAGAGCAAGCGGCTGGTGAAGGTAAGGCGTGATTCTGCCTCCCTCAGGCCGGAGTCCATGCGTGCGCAGGTGAGAGAGAGACAGAGAGGAAGGGCTGGCAGGAAGGAGCGCCGGGGGAGGCGAAGGGGAGGCAAGGAGCCATCGAAGTCTCAGGCCCTCGAAGCCAGCCCATCTCTGCCACGTGCCTGGGCAAACCCTCTTGTGCCCAGCCGGCATGCCAGGCCCGGGGAGGTTGCCTCCGCTCTGCAGCCCCCCTGGGGGAAGAGGCTGGCTTCCAGCCCCTCTGCCCCCCTTGGCAGCTTTCGCCCTGGCCAAACCCTTCAGGGTCCCCTGGTCCTTTAACAGAAGAACAAAGCTAGAAGGGACCTTGGAGGTCTTCTAGTCCAACCCCCTGCTCAAGCAAGAGACCCTTATACCATTCCAGACAGATGGCTGTCCAGTCTCTTCTTGAAAACCTCCACTGATATGGAGCATCCACAACTTCTAGGGGAAAGCTGTCCTCACTGTTGGGAAATTTCTCCTCGGTTTCCTCTTGTTCTGCCCTCAAGATGCTTTGGAGACTAGGGGGACCCCTCTTCTTTGTGGCAGACCCCAGAAAGGCTTTCTCCTCGAGAGGCAGGGTGGAGGAACAGCCGAGGCGCGCTTGCTTCCCTTGCGCTGCCTGCTGACGCCCACATCTGGGCTAATTGAACCCAGATGTTGAGGCTCACTTGAATCCGGTGGGACTCCAGAGGAAAAATCTGGAAACTCTGGCCTGGTGATGGCAAGAAGGATCCAGCCAGGATTCCAGGCCTGCCTTCCCTGCCCCGAGAGAGAGACGCCACCACGGATCAACTGGATCTGCCACAAGGGCGTATTTGGGGCCTCGGCGGCTCCTTCTGCTGTTGTCAGGAGAGGCAGCACCCGAGATAATTGGCAGTTTGTGCAGATGGGCTGCCCTGGGACAGGCTCCCGTAATTGCAGGCTTCTGGAGGTTTCCACATAGCTCTGGTGGCGCCAGCCTGTGGCTGAGGTTACGGTTCACCCTTTGGACAGGAGGCGGCCTGGTCCCAGCTCCTCCCCTCCAAGCGGCAGCCAGATGTGAGCCAGAAACCGTCCGAGCTGCTCCCTCGTCCAGAAAAGCCTCTGGCAGGAAATGGGGGTCTCTGCATCCCCAACAACCCTGCCTGGCCTCTGGGAAGCCGCCTGGGAGCCAGAGACCCCTTAGGCCCCTTGCCTAAGGCGGGTCGACAAGGGGGGGGGGGTGCAGGCCCCTCAAGGCAGGGCCGCTCACGCTTTCCCGGGCAAGTCTTAAATTGGAGCTCCAGTCTGGCAAACGTATAATGGAGCCCCCCCCCCCCCCCCCCCCAATTGAACACCTGGAAATGTTCCACGTTCTCCACGCACGGTGGCTTTTTTGACTGGGTCCATGTGCCGTGTCCAGATTTCAGGATGGGGAAAGTGGACCTTTAGGCAGTTCTGAGAAGGCAGAGGATTTGGGGGAATTCAGCGAAAGGCCTCCTCCTCCTCTTCCTCCTCCGCTGCACCCAGAGCTGAGGGTCACAATTCATCTCCCCACCTCGAGAAAAGCTGGCGAGACTAAAAGCTCGTGCCGTTGATTTATTTGGCTACTTGATGCCTACGGGTGACAAACGCTGCTTGAGGCAGCTGACAGAAATAGCATAGAGGCAATTAGCAAACGTAGAGCACAAATAAGGTAAAATGTCGCTATAAAAGCGCTTGAGTTGACCTGCTGAAACAAAACGGAGTATTGTTCCGCTAAGCTTAAATGTTTATTTACCGCTTAAGGGCACGAAGATCAAAGAGAGAACTCAGAGCCCTTGAAAACCCACCTCCGGTCCCAGAGGCAGCCTTGCGCTCTCTCCTCTCCTGGGGACTTCGGGAGGCTCTGGGCGGAAGGGGCCCTTCCCAAATTCGACAAAAAGCATCCGGCTATACCCGCCAGGCCTGCGTTCAGGGGCCTTCCCATGAGGGGGCAGCAGGGAGTCCCCCCCCCCCCGAGAAGAGCAGCTCCCGGGGGGGCCCACAGCTGGCAAGAACCGCCGAGAGGCCCCAGGGAGCCACTCTGCCAGCCGGGCCGCTTCCCTTCCGAAGAGGGGAAGCGTGGAAGCGCCAGGAGGGGCTGTGGGGCCGCTGGGAAAAGGGCAGAACCCGACCCAAAGGGGCTTTCCCCAAAAGGCAGCAGGGCTTTCTGGGGGGGTTGTCTTTACGGTCGTCTCACTCCTCCTCCCACAAACTGAGGGAGAACAGAAGATGCTTCTTGGATGAGAAATGAAATGTTTTCAAGGGGAATAAAACCCCCCAAAGTCCAGCCACCTTCCGGGAAAGCCCCTCGGGGACAAGGGTGGCCTAGAGGCCTGCGACCCTCCCACCAGGCCGGGGCCTCAGACCGGAGTATTTTCTGGCCACCCATCTTCCCTCGCGGTCACTCTGTCTGTCTGTCTGTCCCCCCTCCTTCTCCCCCCCCACAGGTCCCACCATGAAACCCCTGCTGGTCCTGCTGGGGCTGGCCGCGCTGGCCTCCCTCAGCCACAGCCAAGAAGGGAGCCCTGCAAGCAGCCCCCAGGTCAGCCGGGATCTTTCGGGTCAGGCTGGGAGCGGCTGGAGAGCACGATGGACGGGTGGGAGCCCAGGGGGCGGGCTGCCCGCGCAGGGTGCGCTTTCTCCGCAGCGGGAAGGCCTCCGGGACTGCTGCAACGGGACCCCCACCCTAAGCGAGTCCCCCTCCCTGTCTCAAAGGACCCTTCGAGGGAAGCTGGGCAGCAGCAGCGGCAGGAGGAGGAGGAGGAGGAGGATCCCTTCTACAAGAGCCCCGTCAACAAACTGGCCGCCGCCGTCTCGAACTTTGGCTACGCCCTCTTCCGCCAGCAGTCCAGCCAGGCCCCCTCGGCCAACGTCCTGCTCTCCCCCTTCAGCGTCGCCACGGCCCTCTCCGGCCTCTCGCTGGGTGAGCTCCCCTCGGGGGCCCCTCGGGGCCAGGATGGTCCCCCGAGGGGACCCTAACAGTCTGCCCCTCCCTCTCTCCTCGGCGGGCAGGTGCGGCGGAGCGGGCCGAGGACGTGATCTCGCGGGCCCTTTTCTACGACATGCTGGACAAGGCCAACCTGCACAGCACCTACAGGGGCCTCCTGGGCAGCCTGGGCAGCCCCCGCAAGGGCCTCAAGAGCGCCTCCCGCCTGGTGATGGAGAGAAGTAAAGCTCCCTGGGCCCCGGGGGAGGGGGGAGAGCGGGGGGGGGCATGCGGCAGAAGAGCCAGGGGCTCAGCCGGGGCCTCTCTCCCCGCTCAGAGCTGCGCATGCGAATGGCCTTCGTGAAGGAGCTGGAGAAATCCTACGGCTTCCGGCCCCGGGTGCTCAGCGGAAACGCCCAGGGGGACCTGCAGGAGATCAACCAGTGGGTGCAGCAGCGGACGGGCGGGAAGGTCACACACTTCCTGGCGGAGATCCCGGCCGGGCTCAGCATCCTCCTGCTGGGGGTCGCCTCCTTCAAAGGTACCCTGACCCACCAGGGGAGGGGAAGGAGGGGGGCTGCCTGGAGGGAGAGCGCCCCCCCCCCCGCAACCCTACTTGGTTGTTCCTTTCCCTCCGGCCACAGGGCAGTGGGCCACCAGGTTTGACCCCAAGCTGACCAGGCCTCAGGACTTCCACCTGGAGGAAGGCCGGAGCACGAGGGTGCCCATGATGTCAGCCCCCAGAGCCGTCCTGAAGTACGGCTTCGACTCCGAACTCGGCTGCAAGGTCAGAGGCCAGGAGGGGGCCCCCGCCTGGGGAAACACGGCTGCCCGGGGGCTTCACTGGCCCCCCTCCCTCTCCCCACAGCCCCCCTGGGATGGGGGGGGCCCTCCTTCCCCCAGCAGGCAGCTGTATTTGGGACAGCCCCCTGCAGCCCCCCATGACTGCTGGGGGGGTCCAGCCCCCTGCAGCACAGCCCCTCCCTCCCTCGCTCCTTCCCTGGGGGGCCTCCCCCTCCTAGGAGGGCCAAGTGGGCGTCTCCCCCGCCCACTCCGCCTCTCTCCCCCTCCCGGACATTGCAGATCGCCCAGCTGCCCTTGGCCGGAGGGGTCAGCATCATGTTCTTCCTCCCGGAGACCCTCACCCGGAACTTCACCCTCATCGAGGAGAGCCTGACCGCCGAGTTTGTCCACGACATCAACAAGCAGCTCAAGACCGTCCAGGCCGCGCTGAGTGTGCCGCGCCTGAGGCTGGTGGCCGAGACGAGGCTGGCGGAGGCGCTTCAGGAAATGCGTACGTGCCCCGCGGGGGTCCTTTGGCCGGGGGGGGGGCTTCCAGACCTTCCCCGGGACGAAGGGGGTCCCTGGAGGGCTGCTCTTCGCCACAGGAGCCAGGGCAACGGTTGAGAGCTCGTGGGGGGGAACAGGAGGGGGCTGAACTGAGTCTCTCTGCTGGTCGCGGCCGGGAGGGTCACTCGGCCTCCAGGCCAGGAGGCGGCAGAGGCAGCCAGGAGGTAACGTCCCTTCCTGGCCTGCAGGGCTCCAGGCGCTCTTCTCCACGCCAAACCTGGGTAGGATCTCCGCCAAGGCCCTCCGGCTGTCCCACGCGCATCACAAGGTGGCCCTGGAGCTGGGGGAAGACGGGGCCAGCCCCGTGTTCCCTTCGGAGCCGGAGGCCGCTCGGCTGAACTTCCCCATCGTCTACACCCTGGACAGGCCCTTCCTCTTCGTGGTCTATGACGACGACACCGGCAGCCTCCTCTTCATCGGGAAGGTCCTGGACCCCCAGCAGGCCTAGAGTGTCCGTCCCCCAGGCAAAGGAGCAGTTGGGGCGCGGGGGGGGGGGTCCTGGATTGTGTCCCGCAGCTGGTTTTGATTCCGTGGTCCAATAAAAGAGCTTCTGCCTGAAGGCGCCTCTCCCACCTCAGCCGACGGCGGAGAAGGTGGGGGGGGGGGCTTGGGGGGAGGGGGGGAGGGGGAGCAGGGCGGAAGGGCTCTTCCCACCACCCGTCAACAGGAAACGAGGCTGGCAGAGCTCCGGGGCTGGCATCCTGGCAAGGCTGCGTGGGCGGAGGGGCCGCTGGGTCCGGCAGACAGTCTCGGCCCCCCGTCCTGCACTCCTCGGTCCGGGGTGTCTTGCGTTGGCCTCTTCGAGAGCGGGCAGGGGCCGTGTTTCCAAGCCCCTTCCTCACAGCAGGCCCTCCGGGGCGTCCTCTGCGGGGAGGGTCCGGAGCAGCCCCTCCAGGCAGGCCCTCATCGCCCGCAGCTCCTGCAGCTGAGGGCTCTCCGTGCCCAGGTGCACCCACAGAACCGCCTCCGCCCTCTGGGTGGCCTGCAGGGCTTCGGGGACCAAGCACCTGGCCGAGGGGAAAAAAGTTAACCGGCCAGCCAAAGCCCTGGAGCCCCCACCCCCACCCACCCCCAAAGAACCCCCCGGGCAGGAGCCAGCAGGCCTCGGCCAGGGCTGCCCCTCCCGGGTGGGGCTGGTTTCACACTTTGAGGGGGGGGGACTCTGAAGGGAGGGGGGAGAGGGAGGGGGCTGGGAAGGACACAATCCTGAGACAGCCAAGGCCCCCTTTGCCCCCTTTGCCAGGTGAACAGACCCGTCCGTTCACTCCCTCCTCCCTGCCAGAGTGGGACATTCCTGGGAAGGGCAGAGCCGGCCCAGCCCAGCCCTGGAAGGCAGGAGGGGAGGGGAGGGAGGGGGAGACGGCCAGGGCCCCACCGAGTGACTTCTCTTCCCAAATACAAATCTGCCCCCATAGCCCCCTCCCCCCGCCAGAGCCCAGCCAGGAGGGGGCCCTCCGCAAAGGATGGGGAGGGGTCAGCGTGCTCACCCGTTGAAGAGGACCTGGGCCAGTTTGAAGAGTTCCTGGCCGGCTTCGATGCTGGCGGGCCCAAAATGGGCCTCCACGGCCTGGATGCTCCTGCGCAGGTGCCCGGCTGCTTCCTGCCACCTGCCTGGGGGCCGGAGGGAGGGGGGGGCAGGGAGGGAGGGGGGAGGCTCTGAGCCAAGCTGTTGGCCCCCTTCCTAAAGTGGCTACCCACAAGCAAGTTAATGGGGCAAGCAGGATTCGCTTAATGACTGCATGGGTGTTAAATGTCCTGCTTAGCATCCAAAAAAAGGGTCGTAAAATCTGACGGCCCATTTGGGCAGCCGCCTTGCTTGGCCACCGAAACTCTCGCCCCAACTGTGCCGGTGAGGCAAGGACTCCCGGGGGGCTCGCGCAGGGGCGGAGGGGGCCAGCCTCGTACCTGATGCCGCCTGCACCCGGGCCAGGCGGTCCTCGATCTCGCCCATCCTCAGGTGCGCTGGAGACAGGAAGCTCTCGGCATCCAACCGGCATTTCTGCAGCAGCTCCAGGGCCTGACCTGCCATGCAGAAGGGGAGCCGAGGCTGAGGGGCTGCCTGGGCCAGCGGCCCCCCAAGAGGCGGCCAGTGGGAAGGGCAGCCGGAGGGGCGGAGGGCCCTTCTAGGACATCAGCCCGGGGGGGGGGTCTCTGTGCGCGTCTCTCTCTCTCTCTCCCCTTTTTGCCCCTCGCCTGCTGGCAGCTGGCCTTCCCAGGGGCCTGGCGTGGAAGGTGGAAGCTCTCCTGGGCCGGCCCTTCAGAGCTGCAAAGACCCCGGGCAGGGAGGTGGGCGGGCAGGGCACAGGGCTCCTCCTGGGAAGAATCCGACCTGGGGCTGGGGCGACCCTGGAAGGCTGCTCCCATCTCACCTGGAGAGGAGGGGCCAAGGAGCACCCCGGCACCTGCCTGGCAGGGGCCAGTCCTGGGGCAAGGCTGCCTCTGCTGGGAAGCCCCACCTGAGCTGTCCGAAGCCCCCCACAGCCCCGACGGTTTAAGGAGGCCAATCTGTTACTCTGGGAGCCAGGCACTCTGTCCATGCTCTGGAGGCAGCCAATGCAGCAGTCGGTCGGGGCTTGTTTGAACTTGACTTGGGACCTCTTCACTATGGCCGTTTCCAATCCAGAGGGAGGGACCCGGGAGGGGGGCAAAGGTCCCCTCCAGTCAGTGTGTGAGACAGGCAACCCCCCCCCAGCCTCTCCCCCCCCTCGAGTCCCTGTTTCCTCCCCCTCCTCCCCCCTGCAAGGGCTGGTCCCGGTGTAAGGCCAGCTGGGGCGAAAGTTGCAGGTCTGGGCTGCAAATCCAGGCAGCCATTCGATGTCCCCCCCCGTCCCCCCCCGGATTCCTTGGGCTTCCTCTGAAACCCCCACCGCCCCCAGGGGGGAGCCCTGCGCTTGGCCTCAGGCAGCCTGGACCTGATCCACTGCAGCCCCATCATTTGCTCACGCCAGTCATTCACGTGGGGCGAGGGGGATCCAGAGGGATCTCGACAGACTCGAACCCCGGGCCCTATCTAACCAAGTGAAATTCACTGGAGAGAAAAGGAAAGCCCCCCGCTTAGGCCAGAAAAGCCCAAAGGACGCTGGGTGCAACCGGGCTCAATAGCAGGAACTGGGAGGGGGATCTCGGAGTCTCAGTGGACAACCAGAGAAATAGGAGCCAGCCGGGTGCAGCAGCGGCAGCCAAAAAAGCCAACGCAATCCTAAGCTGCATTAACAGAGGGATACAATCCAGATCAAGGGAGGTACTGATACCCCTCTGTAAAGCCTTAGGAAGGCCCCACCTAGAGTCCTGCATTCAGTTTTGGTCACCACACTATAAAAAGGATGTTGAGGCTCTAGAAAGAAGGCAGAGAAGAGCAACCAGGAGGATGAGGGGACTGGAGGCTCAAACATACCATGGACGGTTGCAGGACCTGGGCCTGGCTGGTCTAGGGAGGAGAAGGACCTGGGGAGACAGAGAGCAGCCTTCCAGTATTGGAGGGGCTGCACAGAGAGGAGGAAGGGGGGGGTCAAGCTGTTTTCCAAGGCACCCGAAGGCCAGACAAGGAATAATATAACCAAGGAGAGACTCAACCTGGAAATAAGGAGAAACTTTCTGACAGGGAGAACAATCCACCCACGGAAGAGAAGTTGTGGGAGATTCATCCCTGGAGGCTTCCAAGAAGAGACTGGGAGGCCACTGGTCAGAAATGGTGTAGGGTTTCCCGCTTGGGTGGGTTGGACTAGATGACCTCCAAGGTCCCTTCCAACTCTTGATGATCTGTTCTCTGCTGACTTGTGACAGGCTGGTGGTGAGGGCCCCGGGCGAGAGAGTCCGAAGCCAGGCGCTCCTGGCAGGGGGGGGGGAGGGGGGGCCCCCGGGTGGTCTCGGAGGCTTGGCAGGTGCTCTGGAGACGTTTCATGACCCAACTAGGGAACCACATCAGAGCGCTGGAGGCGTTACCCGGTCTGAAGTGTCTGCAAGGAAACCACCCGGCTCAGAGAGCACCCAGGCCCCACAGTTCACCTCAGGCAGGGAAGCCAGCGGGTCGCTTAGCCCAACCAACCTCACAGGGTTGTGCTGGGGCAGATTAGAGAAGGAGGGAGGATTTGGTGTGTTTGCTGCCTCCAGTACCTTATAAAGTGAGACACAAACAAACAAGCACGTCACGGTGCAGTGACGCCACGTTCTCCTCCGAGGCTTCCCTGCCTGCCAAGAGGGCACCGGGACACGGGCTGTGTGCGCAGGCGGGTGTCGGTGGGGCTCTCACCTGGCTTCCTGCGCTCCAGGAGCTCCTCGGCTGACTGGGCCAAGCCCTGAAGACGGAGCAGCCGGCGGTGGAAGTCCTCCTCGGGGACCAGGGAGTTGCAGGTCCCCCCCGAGCAGCGGAGGGTGCCTCTCCCCTAGGAAGAACAGGAAAACGTTGGGGAAAGGCCGGCCGGCTCCCTGGCCAAGCGCCGCCCACGGCCGGACGGATGGGCGCTCTGTGACTGGCACCCACCCAACACGCCTGGGCTCGAGGGCTGGGCATTCTCACCTGCATAGGCCTCTGGCAGGCCGGGCAGCGGAAGAGGCCGGCCTCGGGGGCAGAGGGGGCACCGCTGGGCTGCAGCTCCTCCAAGCAGGCCTGACAGTGGCACTCAAAGAAGTACTGAGCCAGGAGCTGCCTGCGCCTCTCGGCAGCCACCATCCGGCACCTGTGGGGCCCGGCGGGGGGGGGGGGGGGGGGGGCAGAGGCAAGAGGAGAACGGTCAGCCTGCAAGGGGGGCAGGGAGCTTTCCCAAAAGCCCCGAAGATGGGGGTTCTGCCGGTGGGCCTGGGACACCAAGCGGCTGCCCTGGTTGTTGTCGCTGGGGTGTGCGCGTGTGTGTAGATGGGGGTGGGTTATTGGGGCTTGTGTTGTCGCTGTAAACCGCCAAGTCACCGCGAATGGGTGAACTGGGCAGCCGTGTCAATTTTCCTAATTTAATTTCCTATTTTTCCTAGGTGTTAATCAATAAAACCAGGGAATATTCCTGCCAGGAATATTAATCCAGTATCAGGCCCACAGTTTGCTCCTCCACAAGATTTTACCTGGGCTAAAAATAATCATGACCCGCCCCCAGAAAGAAATCCTATCAACTTGCCAGGTAGGAGAATCGCTCTGCAGCGTTATAACCCCGGGGACGGGCGGGAGGCGGCATTCATCACCAACTGGGGCCCAATTTCAGCCAGGGAGGCAGAGCGGAGGGCGGCCAACGCACATCCAGAGAATGCTGGCCCGACAGACAACCGTCGCTCCAAGTCCAGAATTGTAAAACCACAGCCGGGATGTCACTTTTGGTGCCCCAAGATCAGATTCCCAGTTGCCGCAGTGTGATGTTCCCGGGGTGCCCAAAACCCTTTCAGGAAGAACCCCCCACCCCCCGGCTTTCCAGGTGGAGTCGCAAAACCTCTCCAGGTGGGGAGGAAGAGGGAAGGCGAACGGAGGGGGGGCGTTTCCACCTGACCCAGGTTGCTCCTGGATGGTGAGAAGGCTGGCTCTCCTCTCGGGCCCTCCTGGCCTGGTCACCTCCCCAACAGGCTGCTCTGGGGCTGCCCTTGGAGACAGTCCTCAGCTGGCGCTCCCAGGGCCCCAAGACCTGCCCACGTCATTCCTTGGCCGGGTCTCCTGCCAGGTCCCCCTCAAGGGGCTGGTTAGGGCCTTGGAAGCCCCACCTGGGACCCACGGGATCTGGCCATCCGAGGGTCTGCCTCTGCCCCTTGACCCCGACTTCCCCAGGCAGCGCTGGCAGGAAGAGGCATGGGGGGGGGTCCTCAGCCAAGGCGCCCCACTTGGCTACAACAACCCTGCTGGCCCTCTGGGCCCCCAAGACTGCTGCTTCTGCCCCCAGGACTGGGGGTCCCCTGGAAGTGGGGAACCCGTTAAATGGCCGTGTGGCGTCTAAATGTAGAGACCTCACACTCCCCTTCTTCCTCCTTCTTTTCCTCCTATTATTATTGTTCCCATTATTCTTGGTATATTGTTATTGCTGTTATTGCTTCCAACGGTTGTTAAGCTTGTGCTTCCATCATGTACGCTGCCCAGAGCCCCACGCAGGCGAGTGGACAGCTGCCCAGGCTGAATTACAAACGGCTGAATGAGCCAGGAGCTTCATGAAAGCCTCGGACCAGCCCCTCCCCGGGTCAAACCCGCCCCCCCAGAGAAAGTGGGAACGGAATAGCTTCCCCGCCAACGAGGCCTCGGGGAGGCCTGCAGGGCCGGCACCCACTCACCGTAGCAGTGGAGCAGCTCCTGCCCGAGGGGAATTGGGCGCAGGGCCCTGACCTCCACCGTGCAGCCCCTGAAAGCCACACTGGTGTTGGGGTCGCAGGAGTGGTTCAGCAGGCTGAGGGCGGGGAAGAAGCCCGTGGCCAGGCGCATCTGCCCACTGCCGGCCACCAGTCCGTCTTCGGGTCCTGGGAAGAAAAGAGAGCGAAACTGAAGGCCGAGGAGCTCAGTGGAACCCGCCCCCCCCCACCCAAGGCCGCCTCCACTGACCTGACGGACGCAGGGTGGTCACCGCCTGGCCGTTGCACTGCAGCTGCAGGACATGGCGCAGCATGGCCTCCCCCAAGACCTCCAGCGCACTGGGGGCCGCCTCTGACTTCGGGGCCCCCCCTGCCATCCAGGCTTCCAGGCCGGCGTCCTCCAGCGCCCTGCACAAGGCTGCCACGCTCAGCCCACAGAGGAACCTGAAGCCGGGGCTGTGCCGTTCCGTGTGCGGCAGAAGGCTGAAGATGGCCCGGTAGGAGCCGCTGTACCGCCCGTCGGCCTCACAGCCAGGAATGGGCCAGGTGCCCCCCTCCTGCGACTGGGCGACCGAGGCCTCCACCTGGGCGAAGCCGGCCACCAGCACCGTCCGGAAGGCCAGGTGGCAGAAGACGCCCAGCGCCAGCAGCAGCCCCCCCAGGGCGCATTCCGCCCAGTGATAGCTACTCCACGCCAGCTGGGCACAGGCGGGGCCGCAGTACCTGCTGTAGCTGCACCCTCGGCAGGGCACGGAGGCCAGCAGCGGGCACAGACAGTGGTGGCAGTGGAGGTCGGGGTTGGCCGGCTGTCCGTCCTGCAGGGCCTGGGCGGTCCCTTCCCGCAGGAGGCTCTGCCCGGGACAGAGGACGCTGGCGAAGGCCGCTTCCCTCACCAGCAGCGTCCCAGGAGGAAGATCCTTGGCAGCAACCAAGTGGCGCCCTTTGAGGCCGGAAAAGCCCAAGCTGACGGCCACCGAGGTGCCAGAGACGCGGCTGCTCTCCTCCCAGGGCTCCGGGTCTGGTGGAGCCTGGCCGGGTGCAGCAGGCGGGCGAAGGGAGGCCCCGCTCTCCTCACCGGCCCCGCCCCGCAGCTCATCCAGCCGGCCTAGCAGCACCCGGTGACGGGCAGCCTCCAGCCTCTGATCCGCTGAGAGGCCCTCCTGCACGCTGCGGAGGGCGCCTGCCGCCTCCTGCAGCCGGCCCAAGGAGAGCAGGCACTCGGCCCTGCGCAACTGGATCTTGGGCAGCAGCTTCTCCGGGCAGCTCCCCACCTGCTGCGCCCGTCCGATGTCCTCCAGGCAGACCTGCAGAGAGGAGGAAGTCAAGGGGGCCGTTCCAGAGGCTCCCTTGGCCGGCCATGGGGGGGGAGGGGGGCTGCCCGAGAACGGTTTCCTCCTCCAGCCCTAACCCTCCCCTTGGAGGGAGCGACGGATGGCGGGCAAGGCAGGGGCTCGGTGGCTTGGCATGAGGTCTGCTGGGCATCGCCTCCTTATCCCCACTTATGGGCAAGTCCTCGGCTTAAAACCACTTGCTTAGCGACCGTTCAAACTCACAAATTTACCATCAGTGCCCACACAGCTGTTGCGATGCCCCGTGGCCACGCGATCAAATGCCGTGACGGTGGCAGCACCCCAGGCTCACACAATCACCCCCTGCCCCCCGGCAAGCAAAGTCGGCAGGGGGAGCTGGATTTGTTGAAGGAGGGGTGATTCACTGAACAAGCGTGGCAAAAAGAGGCTGCAAAAGTGGGCGCAGCTTACTTAACGACGGCCTTGTGTAGCAACGCAAATTCTGCTCCCAGCTGTGGGGCTGCCATTTCCTTCCCTTCCCTCCTTCCTGCACATTGCCCCCCCCGCCCCCCCCCGGGGCCGGAGGAACGGATAGCTGTGGGGGCCCCGAGGCTGGGCTTCCTCCCGCCGCTTCTTCCCCAAGGGTGACGGGGCCGCCCCCCCCCCCCCCCCCCTTGCAGAGGATCCAAGCTGGCTCAACACCGCCACCCACCAACTCTGCCGGCCTGGCCTGGCTGCCTGGGGCATTCTGGGAGTTGGAGTCCACATATCTCAACGTGGCTCAGGTGGGAAAGGCTGCGGCCTGAGCAACCTCTCTAAGGTGTTCTAAAGAAGCCCGAGTATTCGCCAGGCCGGCCTCCACTGGGTGGGAAAGGGGGGGGTCTCCTGGTGAGTCCCCGATGATGCCTGGGCTGAGGCCCCCAACCGGGCCAGGAGCTCCTCGGAGCCAGACCGCCCCCCCCGCGTATCCCCCCTCGAGCGAGCACACACCTCGCCTCCCCCGCCCTCCCGCCAGTCTGCAGAGCCAGGAAGGCCTCTGGGGAGGTTCTGGAGTCGGGCATAGCCGGAAGGGGAGAACGGGCACCCAAATTCCCCCCCCCCCCCCCGGCCCAATCAAATGCAAGCAAGACGGTCCCTTCAGGCAACCCTGGCAGGTTTGGCGATGCAGCTGCGCTCTGTTCCTGGCCGGCTGACCCTTGAGCTCTTCTGGGCGACTCCGAGTGAACCGTCCCTCTGAGCAGCCCCCTCCGCCCCCCTCCCAGTTCCTGGCCCCCGATACTGGTTGCCAAGGGCCAGACTGAGGTGGCATCGGGCAGAGGAAGAACAGGGCGCCTTTCGTGGGCAGGGGGAAACCCTCGGCTTCTAGGAGGGAAGCGCTGGGAACTCGGGGGCAAAAGCCGTTTATTCAACTCACCTCAAACTGGCCCAGGTGGAAAAGGGCCGCGGAGCGATTGGCGTAGCAGACGGCCATTTCTGGGCTGCCGGCCTCCGTGTGGGACAAGGCCTGCAAGAGCCAAAGGCAGAGGCGGCACCCGCCTGTTACAGCTCCGACCGCGCCCAGCCTGGGTTCCCAGGGGGAGGGGCTGCATTCCTCCCCCCTGCGCTCCCCGCTCCCCCTCTGGCCCCCTTTTGATTCACAGGATTGCACTCGCGTGGTTCCTTTTTGTTGTCTCCTGGCTTTGCTATCGCTAGCTTCCCTTTCTTATCATTTTTTCCTGTTTTCCTGTTGTGAGCTAGCCAGAAGTGCCCCGGGTCAAGAGGGGCAGCGGCTACATTAAAGGCATAATGGCAAGTTGAAGATGGCGGGGGGGGGGACTTCAACTCCCCCAATGCTGTCTGGGGAATTCTGGGAATCCACCCATCTTCCACTTTGCCACTCTTGGGAAACCCTGCACTGAAGAAGGAAATCGATAAATTCCGGAAGGCCGAAAGAAAGCAAACTTGGTCTGAAGGGAGAAAGAGGGTTAAGGCAGCTCCGAGGGTATTCACTGCGATGGAAGTACGGTGGGGCCTCGGCACCCAGGTGCCTCGAATGCCACTGACATCGAGGCCCGAAGCATTATGACGCGACCCCTTGTCCCAGTTCTCAGCGTTTGTTGGGTATTCAACGCACAGACTAGAATTTGTCGGTGTCAGTTGCTTTGTGAGTCACTGTGTTACTCCTGATGGGAAAGACTGGTTGGATACTCATCGTTTTGGAGGCTTATTGTGCCTCCCGGACCCAATGGACGACGAAGGCCCAGGGACCAGGGCAGGGGCTTCACTCGGGCAAGAGTCTGTCTGCGGGTGAGGACCAACAAAGGAAACTGCGCAGGAGTTACAATGGGTAACTTCCTTGATTCTTGGGGCCTGACCCACAAGGGCACACACGCACCCCCTCCCTACAGGAGTGGTGGAGGTCAGGATCCCTCCTTCGTTTGGGTTGATCCAGAGGTGGAGCAGGGGGTGGGGGGGCGTCTGGAGCAAGATTCGTGCCTGGAGGGTGGAGGCTGCACGGGGCGCCCACCGCACGGGGCTTGGGCCCAGGCAGGCCCTCGAAAGGTTTGCCGTCAGGAGCTCCTGGGGGCCCAGGAAGCAGGGAGCCGCTCAGGGCTGGTTCCACTTCACAGAGCCCAGAGCAGCAGGAAGCGGCGGCAGGGGCCTGGCCCAGGCAGTCCCCGACTTACGACCACCACGGAGCCCAGCATTTCTGCTGCTTGGTCCTCCTTAAACGAACCTGGTTCCCCCCCCCCCGACTTTGATTATGAGAAGGTCCCTAAAGGGGATCAAACGACCCTGGACCTCTGCGACCGTCACAAGTGGCAGTCAGGGGCCAAGCCCGCAGAGGACGCAGCGACGGGGGTGGAAAGCGGCCCTCGGGCACCTGTTTCTCAGGGTAACTCCCAACGGTCACTAAGGGAGCTGTTGTAAGTCGAGGCCCACCTGACAGGTTCCCCCTATGGGCCCCAACGGGGGCCAGAGTTTCCACTCGCCAAGCGGGGCGGTCGTTAAGTGAGCCACCCCAACGCCACCGCCGCTGAGCGAACCGGGCTCCCCCCCTCCCCCCCCCCCGCGGACTCTCCGCTCACCCGGGAGTAGAGCGCGGCGGCCGCCCGGTGCTGCCCCGCCCGGAAGCGCCGGTTCCCCTCCTGCCTGCAGGGCTCGGCCAGCCGGGGCTCCTTCCGCACCGAGAGGCGGCGGGTCAGGCGGCGCAGGAAGGTCTCCTCCTCGGGGCTCCTGCGGGGGGGGCGGGGGGGAGCGTCGGAGAGTCAGCCGGGGGGGGGGGGTACGGGGGGGCCGCGGCGGGGGGGGGGGGGAGGCGGAGGGGGCGGGGCTCACCGGAGGAGGGGCGCGGCCAGGCGGAGCGTCTCCCGGGGCGACCGTGCGCGGCTTAGCTCCTCCCTCCGCGGCGCCCCCAGAGACCCCCAGAGGCGCCCCGCCCGCACCCGCCATTCCTCGACCGGCAGCAGCTCCATCCTCCCGGCATGCCCCGCGCGAGGGGGAAGAGTCGGGGCGCGGGTCGCCCGCTCGACCAATCGGGAGCGCCGGCGGGGGGCACGTGGCGCCGGGGGCGGGGCGAGGAAGGCGGGACCCGGCTGCGACGCGCGCGGGAAGCCGACCGGGAGGGGGAGGAGTCGCGGCGGGATGGCGGCGCCAGTGGCGAGGCTGAGCGAGGGCTCCATCGCGGTGAGCCCGGCCCCGGCCCCGGCCCCGGCCCGGTGGGGGGAGGGCGGGGGGCTCCCGGGCGCTTCCCCCCTCCCCCGCTGACCCTCCCTCCCTCTCCCCCCCCCCCACAGGCCATGCTGCTGCAGGCGGAGCCGGTGGGGAGGCCGGTGCTGCAGCTGATCGTGAGTAGCCTTGGGGGTCTCGCCCCCTCCCTCCCCCCCAGGAGGCCCCCCTTCCCCTCCGGCTGGGCCTTGCACCCAAGCCTCTCGGCGGCTCACGGGCCGTCCTCCACTTACGTCGCGGCGACACGGAGTAAGGGGCTCGCGGCCGCTTTTCCCACGGCCCTAGCGGCGTCCCCACGGTCACGGGATCAGTATTTGGCCTGTATTTGGTTTCAGCGCCCTTTTTGCGACCCTGGGGAAGCCGGGTTCACTTAACCCTGTAACTAAAGAACTGCAGCGATTCACTTAACAGCCCCGGCACCAAAGGTCGTAAAATGAGACAAAGCTCACTTAACAACAGTCTCGCTTAGCAACAGGAATTTTGTGGTCATAAGCCGAGGACTGGGAGGCAGCCAGAGGGGGGCCGAGGCGGCGCCTTCCCTGCCACGAAAGGGCTGCCTGGGCTTGGGAAGAGGCAGCCGGGCTCTTCGCTGGCTGAGCCGGCTGTGTTTCCACCCCCCCAGACCATCCGCCCCATCTCTACGGGAAACGGGCCCCCTCGCTACCGGATGCTGATGAGCGATGGCGTCAACACCCTCTCCTGTAAGCACCCGGGGGCCTTCAGGGGCTGTGTGTGTGTGTGGCGGGGGGGAATAGCAGCCTTGGGAGGGGGAATGACCTGGCCGTATTCCTGGGGGGGGGATCTCCGGTTCAGCCTGTTCCTTGCACTCCGACTCCACCTTCCCACTCGGCTGAGGACTCCAGGAAGCTGAGGTGCAAAGCACAAAACTTTCCCTAAAGTTTGTAAGCTCATGAAGAAGTTTTCACGCAGCACCTTGGACAGGTGGGCTCAGGTGGAGGCCCTGTGGGAGCTGCTGCTGCAGGAGTGACTGAGGAGGCCTCGTGGGGCCACAGGAAGAGCAGCCTCAGCCAGAGGCCAGGGCCTGTTCCACAGGGCGGCCCAGTTGGCACCCCGAGGCCCCTGGCACAGAGCAGCCCACTGCTCCCCGGGACCCCCTTCTTGTTCTGGGGCTGCTTCTGAGGGGGCTCGGGGGGGGGGAGGTGTTCAACGTATAGAGCGACTTCAGTATGATGCCACTTGATTAAAAAGAATGGCCTTTCTGGTGATTGAGACCGTGCGGTAGTGCCATGAGTTGTATGATCGAAGACGGCTTGCAAAACGAAACGCCAATTTGTGCTTCGACCCCATCTATTAACGCAGCCAAGCTTTTAAACTTCTCTGTGCCGGGTGAGCCGTTTTAAACCTCTGGCTGTTGATGTCCTGACATCTGCCTGTCTTCCGTTCGTTCGCAGCTTTTATGCTAGCCACACAGCTGAACCCTCTGGTGGACGACCAGAGCTTGACCGCCAATGCCATTTGCCAGATTAACCGCTTCATTGTGAACACTCTGAAGGATGGAAGGTAACAGCTGGTTCTGGGAGGAAGGAAGAGCCGCTGGTTGAAGTGGCCCCCCTCCCCCGAGAGTGCCCGTGGGGGGCCGGGAATGGCTCCCCTTTTCCTCAGGCGCTTCTGATACTTTTGTAAGGTGACAAACGTCCTTATTTTTTTCTCTGCCCACGCAAATCAGTGAATCCTTCCTGACACACAGGGTGTGAAAAGAGCGAGGAGGGCGGGTGGGCCTCCCCTGTGTTCGAGGAGAGGCTGCCTTGTTGTGTTATCGCAGAATAACAAGCCAGGGGTGCCAGGAATTTTGCCCCTAAAGCTCTCCAAGAACTCCCATCTGGCCCCTCCTGTAGGTGGGAAGGCCTGAAAGAAACAGGGTTGGGCTGGAGCTCAGGCACTCGGCTGCAGCCCTTCACCAGCCGGCTGCAAACTGGGCCTCAGACCAACGGGTCGTAGGAGGGACCGGCAAGACGCCTGGATCCAGGGCAGCCGCAGCAGGGAAGAGGCCGCCGCGTGCAGGGCCCCCGGGGCGCTCTGAGCTTGGGGAGGGGGGCCTGATGAGGTTCCCAAGTTGGGGGGTGAGAGCAAGCGCAGCCCTGAGCACCATCATCCCAGCTTAGATTTGAAGGGGGTCCGAGTGGGCAGGAGCTGGCCAGGAATCGTAGTGGGCAGCACCATGAAAAGGCCACCCCAAAAATGCCTCGCTTGAGACGTCAGCAAAAGAAAACGGGGGCCCCAATGTCCTCACCGCCTTGTACAAACTGCCGGGGAAAGACGCTTGGCTGGAGACTGGGTTCTGCGCTTCTGGGCCAGCAAAGACCATTGCAGGCAGCTCCCTTACAGCGGGGAGCGGGGCGGGGTCTTTGGTGTGGAGGCCAGGAGGGGCTGAGCCTTTCCTCATGCCGAATGCAGGGCCGCTGAGAGGGCCCCCCCTGCACACCCAGCACATAGCTAAATGGAGGGGGGGGAAGTCCAGCGTTGGCGAGACGGAAAGGGCCGCTGGGTGGGTTCTCGGTGGAGGGCTGGACATACGTGAGAATGTGCGCGTGGCCTGTCCTTGCCCTCTGGGACAGGGCTGTGAGCCTCCCCGCTGGCCACTGTGGGGCCCAGGCAGCCGAGGCAGGGCCACCGCGCCCTCACGGTCCCTGGTCGCCTGTTCATGGCATGAAAGCGGCAGTTCTGGGCAGGTGTCGTCTCCGGCTGCCCTCTTGGGCAATGCCGGTGCTTTGAGGAGTCCAGCCCCTTCCTGGAGCCTGGCAGGTTTGGTCAGCAGCCACATTTGAGGGATGGAAATGGAGCGATTTCCCGCTTGGTGCCTCCCCTGGCGCAGGGCAGACCAGGAGGGGGCTTGAGGAGGCAGCAGCCAGGCCCAGAGGGGGAAGGGGTCCCTGTGGCCCTTGAGAGGCTCCGGCCTCTGCCCGGCAGGCCCTCCAACGGCAGGGAGAGGGAGGAGTGGGGGTGGCTGTCGAGGCAGCTCAGAAGAGCATGGAAGCATCGTGACAGGTAGCCCTCAACTTACAACCGTTCATTTAATGACATTCACGGCACTGGAAAAGTGACCTTATAACCGTTGCAGCCGCCCCACAAGGTTGCGTGGTCACAGCTGTTGGCCACTGACCCACATTTATGACAGTCCCCGTGTCCCGGGGTCATGGGACCTGACAAGGGAGGGGAGCCAGATTCACTCCACAGGGTTGCTAGTTCAGCACCTGCAACGGCCGGCTTAACCACTGTGGCAAGGAAGCCCCTAAAACGGGGCAAACTTCACAACCGCCTTGCTTAGCAACAGAAGGGCTGGCCCCAGTTGCGGCCATGAGGTGAGGACCACCTGTGCAGGCTGCAGCCCCAAGACCCTCGGTTGCACCAGTGCTCAGAGCTTGGCCCGGCTCTTCCTCCGGGGGGATCTGGCCCTCTGGGGCTTGTGATGGCCAATCTGGCCGCCTGGCCCCTGCCTGGCCCCCCGCACTGCTCTTGCTGGGCGGGCCACCTGCCTGCTGGCCCTGCCCGGATGTGTCCGGGGTCCCTCCTGGTCACACCTTCGGTGCCTTTCGGTGGGCTGGCTCTTCTGGGCCCTGCGCCCCCCTGGCCTTGTACCCAGCCTGGAGGGTAGAGAAGCCTGGCTGCAGGCCTTCCTTGGCCGGGAGCTCGGCCCGCTTCGGCCGTTGCTCCGTCTGGGCTCCCTTTTGGGTGTCGATCAGGGGAAACCTTTGAGGCAAAGAAGCCACCGTCCGGGCTTTGGAGAGCAGGCGGGGGAGACCCTTTCCAGCCAATGGGGAGAATCCAAGCGGAGGGTGGGTCACGGTTCTCCGGGTGGGCGAGAGGGCGGCCCAGGGTCTCCGGCAAACCCAGCTGGCCCCCGGAGCCGACTCGAGTTTGCCTTTGCAGGCGAGTGGTGGTCCTGATGGAAATGGAGGTTCTGCAGCCGGGTCATGCCGTCCCTGCCAAGATTGGAAATCCGGTGCCCTACACGGAAGGTAACGCCCCTTCCCTGGCGGGCCCTTAGCAGCGGCCCTCTGGCCTTGTCTTCCCTCCTGGCTTTTCAGTTGATGCTCTTGGGAGAACCTCATCAGAGCGTATTCGGTGGCTGTGTGTGTGTGTGTAGGTCAGCCTGGAATCACAAAGCCCAGCAGGAGCAGCTGCAGGTGGCATTCGGGGGCTCGGAACAGCAGGGGAGGGACCGACAGGATTTGGGGCTGGGCCATGGAGGAGAGGAGGGGGGAGCCATGGGGAGAGCTGAGCAGTATTGCCTGGGGCTGAAGCCATCTGGTGCTCTGGGTTTCTGGGGGTCTCTTTGCCGAGGGAGGGGCGCCTGCGTCAACCCTTCCCTGAGGTCGCCCCCCCCCCCCCGGAGCTATTAGGGAAGGCGTTTGGGCCCCGATTTCTTTTACCTCTCTGGTGCCCCTCCCCCCTTGCCAGCTGTTCCCTGAAACGGAGCGGCCTGGAAGAGGAAAGGCGCCCCTCCCCCCCAGGGTAAAACGGGCGGTACCTGGAATCGCAGGGCTGCTTGACCCCCACTTGGGGGGCTGGAGCGGAGCTCTCCTGCTGCGTTGCTTTATTCAGCTCTCCGGTTTGCCTGTGCCGAGTTTGGGTCCCGCTGCCAAAGGGGCACAGAACGGAGCGCTCTTCCGGCCTCCCAGAAGCCAGCAGGGGGCTCACTGACCCCAGGGGAGGCCTTGGCCTCGGGGCACAACTCCCCACACCCCCCTTTCTGCCATTCCCCCCAGGGAGGCGAGTGGTTTGTGCTGCGATGATTCTCCCCGCTAGAGAGTGGGAGAGACCTGCCTGCCGACTGCTCGCTCCGGCTGGCAGAGACGGCACTAAGCGGAGCCTGCTGCTCCCTCCGGCCTCGGCCTGGGAACCGGGGGTGGCCCCCCCCCCCCCCACAGCAGCTCAGTGGACTCTCTGGCGCTAAGGCATTAATTCCCCCTTTCCCAAAAGCCGCTTTTCTCCTCCTCCTCCTCCTCCTCCTCCTCCTCTGAGTTAACTACTTTGGATCTTAAAGGGCAGGTACTGAGGTCTCCCTTTGACGATACCTTACCTGCCAATTGAGCTGACCCGCTCTGAGCCGGCAAACGCTCTGAAGGTGCCACCTCCCATTTGCATTTCAGAAAAGTGGGATCCGCAGGGTGGGGTGTCCGTTCCACCCCCCCTCCTGGCAAGAGGGACACACGGGGCCACTGTCTCTGACAGGGCCCAGAGCTGTTTGTGCGGCTCTCCCTGGGGCTGGGTATAAATACACGCAGCGGGTGGGGATGGGGGTGTCTAAGGAAGGCTGACCGGTGGGGCCCCTGGGAGAGGCCTTCCACTCAGGCCCCCGGGGGGGGGACGGGCACAGCGCCAGCAAGAAGGGCCGGCTGCAGAAATAGCTCCCCTTATTTCGCCTGGCACCTTCAGTGCCGCACCGGCTCCTGTTTGAGCAGCAGCGAATCTGCCGGCTTCGGGTTCTTCTTAGGCGCCTTGAGGCCTGCAAGGGCGGGAGGCGCATGTGGGGGGGCACAGGACGAGGGCCCTGGCGGGGGGAACACAAGCCTTCAGAGGGCCGCACACCGGCTCTTCCTGATTGTCCGGGTGGGGGGGCAGTCTGGGTTCCCCACAAGGCTTGGCTCCCCTGGGGGCTCCGGCCTGGTGCCCAGAGCAGCTCCAGCCGTCTGCCTGGGATGGGGGGGAGGCCGCTCGCCTCTGCCCGGGAAACGGGGGTGGGGGTGGGGTGGCTTGGGCTCAACCAACCGATTCTCCTTCTGGGGATGGAAGAAGGGGAGGCCGGCGTGCTTGGATGGGGCCTGAGCGGGGCTCCCCTCCCGCCCCAGCTCTTGGGCCAAGGGCCGGCCCTGCCCCCTGCTATCCCAGTTGACCAAAGTTGCAGCGTCGGCCCACCCTCTCCGGGCAGCGCTTGCTAGCCTCGGCCATCGTGGCTGCGGCTGGAGACAACGGAGAGGCAGGCAAAGCGGCTGGGGTGCAGGTCAAGGGGCCAGGTGGTCAGCGGCATCAGCTCTGTGTTTTCCCCGGTCCAGGCAGCGGACAATCCCCCACCCCGCCCAGAGAGGCGTCTGCCTCAGTCCCTGCGGCCCCCAGACCGTCTCCGCAGCGTCATTCTGCTTTTCTGGGGATGTTGGGGGGGGGGGTTGTTCAGAGAAGCCCCTCTTGCTCAATGGGCTAGAATTGAGAAAATGAAGCACCCCCGCCCCATCAGCTTTGCGGTTTGGAGGTTCTTCCCTGCGCTTCACCTGTTGGTCCAGCGGCCCTGGGCTCGGCTCCCCCCGGGCTGCCTGGGAGTCTCTCTCCTGCAGGCTGAACGAGAGCGAGGGTGGCTTTCCTTGGCCACCGTCGGTTGAGAAGAGCCACTCCGGTTTCCTGCCCCAGAGGATCCCGTGGGGCAGGCGGCCGATTCTCCTCCCCATCCGTCTGCAGGCCCTTAACTCCCCTGAGTGGGGGCCACGGGTTTCCTCCCTCCCCCCACCGGGGACACTGGCTCACCCCCTCCTTGTTTCGGCCGAGTTGATGCCCCCTTTGCTCTGAGGGGGGCAGAGAGGGCAGCGGGGGGGCTGGATTGAGAGGCAGTGAGGGCCACTCCCGCCCCACAGATGTCTCCTCCTCCCCCAACAGGAACTGGACAAGCAGGGAGGCAGCCCCCGGGCCCCGGCCCAACCACGACCCCTTTCCAGAGCAAGCCAGCGGGACTCCCGAGTGGCGCTCCAGACGCAGGTAAGGGGCAGCGGAACAGCCTTTCGGGGGGGGCGGGGCGTGGGTTCTCCCCCAGCTCTGCTCCTCTGCAAACCCAGGCCGGGACATCCGGCTGCGGCCTCTTTTCTGGCCCCGGTGGGTGAAATGAGTGGCTGTGGCAGTCAGGAGCCCTCCTGGAAGGGCTGCCCTCGGCGGGGGGGGGGGAGGGGGGGGGGCAGGATCCTGCTGCTGCCCCAGGGAAACGGGCCTCCGTTTCGGTCTCTGGGACCCCAAAGGGAAGCCCCCAGGCAGCCGGAGGACTTTGGGGGGCAGGAGCTGCTTCCGCGGCCTTCATTGGCCCCAAGGTTGGGGGGGCCTCTGGTTGGGCTCTCCCTGTTAGCAAGCGGGGGGGGGTGTGCCCAGCTGGAAAGGGAAGCCGGCAGGGACCGAAACGGAGGAAATTGTTTTTCAGCCCTGCCAGGTCACAGAGGAGCTTAATTAACAGGGAGGGACCCGTCACCTCCAGGTCTGGCAGATGATTGTCGCAGGCAGGCGGGGAGGTCAATTGCTGCTCAAGGGGTAGAACCCGTCCGGCCTTGGCAGGGAACCTCAGCTTCACGCTTTTCGGGGAGGCCCTTCCTTTCCTCACGGGGAGGCTGTGGAGAAGGAGCCAGCCATTTTGTGGCCTCTGTGGAGGGGCAGGCGAGGTTCCCCAGGGGGCCCGAGGCCTTTGCAGGCGAGGGGGGTCAGGGGGTGGGGGACGGTTCCCTTGGGGGGGGAGCGGGGAAGGGCCTAGGCCAGAAACGGAGGCCTTTTTCCTGGGGGGGGGGGGGGGGCGTTGCTGGCCCCAGGAGGACTCCTCAGCTGAAGCACACGCCAGTCCGGGCTCTCTGCCCTTCCCCCGGGAGCCGGTCCTTGGGCGGCCCCGGGGCTCCAGGGCCCAGCGGTGACGTGGGCAACCTCCTTGTTTCACCGCAGAGTCTTTGGCGAAGGCTCCCCCCGGCCCTTCCAAATGGCTGGGGAACGCAGGCAGCTCCGGCATCCTGAGCACTCCGGGGGGCTCTCAGGTCAAAGTGGTGCCCATCGCCAGCCTGAACCCTTACCAGTCCAAGTAAGTGGAAGGCTGCCCCGGCGCTGACCCTCCCACCGCCCCCTTCCTTCCCGGGGCCGCGTAGGGGTGGTGGGACAACGCCCTGCGGGGGGGGGAGGCTGCTGTAGGGTGGCAAAGGGGCTGAGCCGCCTTTGAGGCTTTGAGTTGTGGCCCGTCTGGAGCTCCGCAGGGGGGGCGTCTGCCCAGAAGGCCGAGGTGCAGCAGTGGGGATCAAACGGGGGAGGGGGCGGGAGGGGACAAGTCCACAAACACAGGGAATCGTGGCCGACGGTAATCAAGTCAACCCAGAAATACGAGGGCTTCAACTACCAATTGGGGTCACCCATAAAGCACACGAGCACCCGGGTTGCCCCAAAGCCCCTGCGGAGGATGAGGGCCGGCTGGGGTCCCTCTGGGCTGGCTCCCGGGGTGCATTTCCGGGGTGGGGTCTGGGCTCCTGGAAGAGCCGCTGGCAGGGCCCGGATCAGCTCCCTCCCTCCACTGTCTTTCCAGGTGGACCATTTGTGCCCGGGTGACCCAGAAGGGCCAGATCCGCACCTGGAGCAACTCCCGGGGCGAAGGGAAGCTCTTCTCCATAGAGATGGTGGATGAGAGCGTAAGTGCAGGGCTCGCCCGGCTGACCCCTTCGGAAAGGCCCCGGCGGCCACTCTGGGAGTGCGGAGAATCGCGGGCTGTGGGCAGGACCGGCTGCCGTTCCCTCCTCCCCGGGGCCTCGGCTTGTCGCCTGGGCAGAGGCTTTGAATGGGGCCCGGGAGGGGGGGCTGGGGGCTTGGGCTGACGTGCCCCCAGCTGGCGCGGCTGCCCTCCTGCTTCCCCCTCACAGCGAGGAAGACGCGGCCTCCTCCGACTTCCCTTGGCTCCGTCCCGCTGGCAGCAGCCCCATTTGCAGGAGTGGTGGCCGTGCTCACCCGCTGCCCAGGCAAATGGGGCGGTGTGCCCTTGGGTGGGCGCTCGCTCACCCACCCCTTCCCCTGCCCCCCAGGTGGCTTGGCCGAGCGGGATTGGCCCAGGGCTGGGGAAGGGGAGGCCTTTGGGCGCCTCTCGAGGGGGAGGCGGGGAAGCTGCTTGCCCTGCCGGTTTGTGTGGGGAGCAGGGGGCGGGCAGGGGGTGGTGGGGCAGGCCTGGAAGGGGAGATTCCATATTCCCGGCACGTCTTTCTGCTCGGTGGCTCCTTCGGGGCTTTGACTGATGGGGCCTTTATTGCCGTTTTCATCCTCCTCCCGCGTCAACATCTTAGCTGGTGGCAGCACTTGAGCTCTGCTTTTAATTGTCGCTTCAGGAGGGCTTGTCACAACACCCGGTGGGGATGCTCTCCCGAGTCCAGGGGCGGGAGGGAGGCAGGTGCGCCTGGCAGGCGGGCAGAGCCTCCTGGGGGGCTTCGGTTGCCTTGAATTTGGGGGCAAGGATGCCGCTGGATCAGAGGCTCCTCCCCTTGATAGTGCTTTCGTTTTCTCCCATTGACTTTGAGGTTCTTGGCTAGCGTGGGGTAACGGCCCACGGAACAGCCACGGCCCCGGCTCCGTGGGCAAGGCGGGCTGCTGATGTCTCGTGGCATCCCTTCCACTCCTGGCGTGGGCCAGGGGTTCCCCCAGGGAGCTCAGCAGCCCAGGCTGCCCACACGCTTCTCTTTGGAGTCGATCCCCACAGGCAGGCTCCCAGTTTGGGGGGCGGGGAGGGGCGGCTCCCACTGGGATGAGTGGCCTCCCTGTCCGGAAGCCCCTCCTGAGCTGCCTTCTGCATGTCGGCTCTTTCCCTTCCCCAGGGGGAGATCCGAGCAACGGCCTTCAACGACCAGGTGGACAAGTTCTTCCCTCTCCTGGAGTTGAACAAGGTACCCCATGTGTGTCTGTGTCTGTGTGTGTGTGTGTGTGTGTGTGTGTGTGCGCGTCCGTCCGTGCCTGCCCGGCTCAGCGGAGCAACAGGCTCCCTCCGTGGGGGCCAAGGGGAAGCTCCGCCTGAGCCGCCCACAGCTGGTCCTCGCCCGGCCTCCCTTCGAGGTTCAGCCTGCCCCTCCCTCCTCTCTGCGCCCAGGTGTACTACTTTTCCAAGGGCAACCTGAAGACGGCCAACAAGCAGTACTCCTCCGTGAAGAACGACTACGAGATCACCTTCTCCAACGAGACGTCCGTCGTTCCCTGCGAGGATGCCGAGCACCTGCCCTCGGTGCAGTTTGACTTCGTGCCCATCGGGAACTTGGAAGGCGCCAGCAAGGACTCTCTCGTGGGTGAGCCAGAGCAGGCAGGGCCTCTCGCTCGCTGGCCGGGCCCTGTGGGCGCAAGCCCAGGGGCCCAACAGGGCCATCCAGCCTCTCAGGAGCCCTGCCGGCCTTTGCCCTGGGGGGCTGCAGGGAGGCTGCGTGGCCCCATTAACAGCCGCGGCGGCAGGTGGGCCCCCAGGGAGCTCTGCTGCCCCACGGAGCTAGGGGCCTTCGAGGGCACTGGCCCTCCCGACCCCCCACTGTGTCCCCTGGCCTCCCCTTTGGCCAGCGGAGCCGCTCTCCTTTTCGGCTGAGGAGGGCAGAGGAGGGGGGGCTCCAGGAGGTTGGCCCCTCCACCCTGGCCTCTTTCCCCAGACGTGATTGGGGTCTGCAAGAGCTACGAGGACGCGCAGAAGGTCACCATCAAGTCTTCCAACCGGGAGGTCTCCAAGAGGGAGCTGCACCTGATGGACACGTCGGGCAAGACCGTGACGGTGACTCTCTGGGGCGTGGACGTAAGTAGCGGGGCAGCTGGGGCGCCGCTTCCCGCCCAGGCTGGGCTTAGAGGCTCCCGTCCCGAGGGAGGGAGGAGGGCCGGGTCTCCGCAGGGGGGCCAGAGGGGAGGCCTCCCTCCCCAGGAAGAGCGGGGGGGGGGGCTTGACATCCAGAGCTCTTCTTGGCCCTTTAAGGGGTCCCTGTTTCCCGGCCTGAGCCCCCCCGCCCCCCCCTTACCTCGGTCCATGCTGCTTCCCCGCTTTGCAGGCGGAGAAGTTTGATGGCTCTCGGCAGCCGGTGGTGGCCATCCGGGCGGCCCGAGTCTCAGACTTTGGCGGGCGGAGCCTCTCCGTGGTTTCCTCCAGCACCCTCCTGGTGAACCCAGATTGCCCGCAGGCCTTCAAGCTGCGGGGCTGGTGAGTCTGCTCTGCCTTCTCTGTCCGTGGCCGGATCCAGCCCCCCGCCCCCCCCCATTGGTCCTGGCGCAGAGCCCAGGGAGGAGGGCAAAGGGGGGCTGGAGGAAGGAGCCGGAAGGCAACCTGGGAGGGGCCAGGCCCCCCCTCCAGCTGCAGGCAGCCTCCCTTGGCACCGGGGGGCCGGGGCAGCCAGGCTGGCATCGCGGGCTTCATTCTTCCCACTTGGGTTGGGGGGGCAGCTTAAAGAGGGTTCTGGAAGCAGAGCCCCCCCCCCCGTTCCTCTGCACTGAAGGGCCCCCTGTGTCCGTTCATGGGCTCGGGTGATGCCGGGGGGGGAGCGCCGGGGGCCCTTCCGGAGAGGAGCAGAGGCAGCCTTGCCCTTCCCTTCCCTTCCGGCTGGCCCGCTCCCACCCAAGCAGGGGCTTCTCCCTCCTCATCCCGCCCCCCCTCCCCAGCTGGGCTGAAGGCCGCCCCCCCCACCAGCAGCTCCTTCCAGCTGGGGCTGAGCTCCTGGCCTGCGACGGAGGGCTCCTCTGCCTGCCTCCCCTCCCCTCCCCCCCCCAGGTGGGTCAGGGGGCCCAATTGGAGGGCCGGCTCCTCCTGGCTTGGGCCGGGCTGGTTCTTCCCAGGTCCCCCTGCCTTCCCTCCGGGGAGCGGCCGCAGGGCCGAGCCAGGCCAGGGAAGAGTGATAAAAGGGGGGCCTAACGGGAGCCAGTCCTGCCAGGCTCTTTGGGGGACTCATCCGTGGGGCTCCTTGGCAAAAGCCCCTCCTGGGGATAAAAGCCCCTCTCCCCCTTTCAGGTTTGACTCGGAGGGGCAGCACCTGGAGTCCGTGTCCATCTCTTCGGGGCGGGGGGGGCCGGCAGCCGGGGGGAGCAACACCAACTGGAAGACCCTGCAAGAGGCCAAGTCGGAGAACCTGGGCCAAGGTGACAAGGTGAGGAGGGAGGGGGGGGGACCCCCATGCCCCCCACCAGCACCACGGCCCTTGGGGCAGCTGACTTCAGAGCCCAGCCCAGGGCGCCCCCCCTATTGCCCCCCCTCCCCCACCCAGGGCAAGGATGGGGCGTCCCCTGCGCTGTCTGTTTGCTCATCCAGTCTGTTCTCAATGCCTTACAATAAGTTGGAGAAAGGATCCATCGGGACTTAGGCGTCAACTTATGGCCACGAGGGAGCCAGCAGTTCTGTTGCTAAGGGGAGCAGTTGTTAACTGAGTTTTGCCCCGTTTATTTTTTGCCCCCGTTCTTAAGGGAATCGCGGGGCTGTTCATCAAATCCAGCTTCCTTCATTGAAATGGGCCAGGGCTGCCTGCCTAATAAGCAGGGGGCTGGTCTGGAAGACCTCAGGGGTCCCCTCCGACTCTGCCATTCTGTTCTATTCTGCCGGGAAGGCCGCCAAGGGCCTCCCCGGAGCCAGATGGGGCCCTGCGACTGTCGTAACTGCTGGCCGCTTGGCGACCGCAGGCGGGAGGGAAGAAGACTGGCCAGGAGCCCCTTTTCACACTGACCCTGTAACTCTGGCTGCGTTTTGCGGTTCTCCGTGCTACGGGGTGGCTGGCCGCACGTGGCCTCCTCCTGGGCAGGGCGTGGCGGGTGGAGGGCAGCCCCCTCACGCCCCCCTCACGCCCCCCCCGGGGGCTGCCGCCCTTGCAGGCCGACTACTTCAGCTGCGTGGGCACGGTGGTGTACCTGCGCAAGGAGAACTGCATGTACCAGGCCTGCCCCACCCCGGAGTGCAACAAGAAGGTGATTGACGAGCAGAACGGCCTCTTCCGCTGCGAGAAGTGCGACCGGGAGTTCCCCAACTTCAAGTACCGCATGATCCTGTCGGTGAGCCTGGGGCCCCCGGAGGCCTTTCCCGGGGGAGGGGGGTCCCGGGGGGTTCAGTCTTGAGGTGCGACAGCCCCCCACCCCATGGGGGAGCCCTTGGCGGGCCAGAGGCCCCGTGGGAGAGCAACCCAGGGGTCAAAGTCGCTCACTTGGTAGACCCCCAAATCAAACGGGGTGCCTGGCTTTGTAGTGGCACTTGCAAAAAAGGCCTTGGGGTCGTGGGAAGGAACCCAGAGGTCATCTGGTCCAGCCCTAGAGCACCTTGGGCAGGTGGCCAAGTCTGTCTCCTAAGGAGAATTCCCTGTCAAGTGGCAGGTTGTTCCACCGGCTGATGGCATGCTGCCTTGTAGGGTTAATCTGGCGACTGAGAGTGAGTCCACCCCCCCTTCTGTGGGTCCCCCCAGGGAAGACACAGAGGCTGCTGGGGGGGGGGGGGGCGCTGACCGAGCTTGGCGTGTGACGGGGCTGCAGAAAAGCTGCTCTCGGGCTCCCCTGGACAGAAGTGGGGTTTCCGGGGAGGGAGGGAAGCCCGATTCACGGGACCCCAACTTAAGAAGCTTCCCCCAAAACACAAAGAACTCATTGAGAAGCAGCAAGATCGGATTGGCTAGATTGGAGGGGGGGGTCTGCCCCCCCCCATGTGGGGTCTTGGTTGCAGAGGGAGCCGGTTTGTCCTGCCTTGCCCCCCCCCCCCCCCGGGGCCGGCCGCGGGGGGGCGGGGCGGGGGCCTCCCCCCCCCCCCCCCCCCCCCCCAGGGAGAGTCCTGGGCGCCCCTTTGGGCTGAGCTCCGGGCAGCCGCTTCTCAGCCTTTGGCCAGCCTCCCAGATGAGGGCCAGGAGGTTGCACCCCCAAAGGGACCCCCCAAGGGACCCTTGGCGGGAGAAGAAGGGGGGAGGTCCTCCCCTTGGACTCTCCAAGGCTGAGGCCGGAAGGCAGGGGGGGTGGGGGGGCCTCCTTGGCTTCCCTTCCCTCCCTGGACTGGCTGCTCCTGCCCTCTTGCTGCCCGCTGCTGACCAGCAGCCGGGACCCTCCGGACCTGGCCAGAGAAGCCCCCCAGGGTTCCCCCCACACACTGAGGGCAGCCAAGGGAGGGGAGTGGCCTGCAGCCCCCTCCTCCTCTTTGGGGCCCCCACCGGCAGGAGCCACTGCTTGCGTCCCTGCCTGGGTCTCCGGAGGAGGAGGAGGAGGAGGCGGCGACTGGGCGCAGAGGGGGGGGAGGGGGCTCTGGGCAGGAGGCCCTGCGTGGGCGCCTGGCTCGGAGGGCTTTGACTTCTCTCCTTCCTCCCGCAGGCCAACATTGCGGACTTCCAGGACAACCAGTGGGTGACCTGCTTCCAGGAGTCTGCGGAGGCCCTCCTGGGGCAGAACGCGGCCTACCTGGGGGAGCTGAAGGAGAAGGTGGGTGGGTGGGGGTTGGGGAGGCCCTGCTGTGCCGGGCCAGGCCTCGGTTTCCCTCCTCACCAGCCAGAAGGCGGTTCATCCCTGGGCAGCCCCCCGTGGCCCCCGTGGCCCCTGTGGTGCCAGCTGCTCCCGCGGGCGGCTTCCTTCGTGGGCCCCAGGGGGTTCTGGCCACAGTTTGCAGCCTCCCAAGGGCTGCCGGCCTCTTCCTGGCCTTGCTTGGGCTCCCCTGGCACCAGGAGGACATTTGCCCCCTGGGCTCCTCCCTCACTTTAGGCGTTTGCCCGCAGCTGGCACAGTTGGGACCCTGGCAGCCTCTCCCCTTGCACGAAATGCTCTTTCCCAGAAGGAAGGGGCCTCCTTCTCAGACCAAGGGGGGGGGTCCTGCTTCCTCCCTGCCCATTGGTGGGGGGGCGCTGAGCCATGGCAAGCCAAAGGGGGCAGCTGCCCTCCCTGCGATGCCCGTGGGAGCCAGACCGCCTCCATCCTGAAGGCCTGGAAGGCTCCGGCCGGCTGGAAGAGCTGACGGGGGGCGGGGGCTTCGCTCTCTCCGGCCCAGAACGAGCACGCCTTCGACGAGGTCATCCAGAGCGCCAACTTCACCTCCCACGAATTCCGGATCCGAGTCAAGCTGGAGACGTTCAATGTAAGAGAACGGGGGTGGGGGGTGGGGGTCACCGTCCTGGCTGGGGGGGCCTCTGCCTCCCTGTGCAGCTGTGACTTGCTTGGGAAAACAGCCCCCCTGAGACTTAAAGCGCCAGGGGCGCCTGTGGCGTTCCGGGCAGTGGGGAGGGGGTTCCCCAGACGGGTCTGGATCCCGCCAGGGCTCTCCTGCTCCAGGCCAGGGCTTTGGGGCATCCCCAGGGACTGCAGGGGGGTGAGCTGTGGGGCTTCTGGGCTCAAGGGGGGGGTCTGTCTAGAGCAGAGACGGGACCAGAACCTCTTGTGCTGTGGGCAGTGGAGAACCCTGTGGGCTGCAGGCCGTCAGAGTCCCGGGACAGGTGGGGCGGCTGAGCGGCTGGCTTTGTGGCCGGGGGAGGGTGGGGTTGCTATGATGGGGCCCAGGCTGCCGGACCCTCCTGCTTCTCAGCACGAGGGTCTGTGCTCTTGAATGCCCGGGACTCCAAAGCCCATGGGGTAGCGGTGCCTGCTGAGTTGCCTCCTCTCTTTGCCAGGACGAGTCGCGCCTGAAGGCCACGGCCGTGGAGGTGAAGCCCATCAACCACAAGGAATACTGCCAGAGGCTGATCCTGAACATCCGCAGGAACGCCGCCCGGCTCGGCTGAGCCCCACGGAGCAGAGCTGGAGGCCGGCCTGGCCTGCCGGGTCCCCTCCCGCCCCTGTTGCTCTGCGGACTTCCTGGCCCCCTTCCCCGCAAGGGCCCGGCCAGGCCCTCCAGGGATGGGGCGACCCAGGCGCCCTTCAGTTCTTCACCTCCGTTAATGCCACTTTTGGGGGCTGCCCACTGCAGTCTCCTTTTCCCTCCTTTTTTCCCCCACTTTGCTATTTTTATGCAGAGAAAATTTCTGTATTTTTCCTGATGGAAACAAATTGGGACGTGAGCTTCAGGTGCCCCCTTTCCTTTCCTTTCTTAATAAAGAGTGTTTAATTTTGGGCGTTTTCCGAGTTCTTTTTATGCCAATGCCAGTAGTTTCTCATTACTGGAAAGCAATTCATTAGTTTCCATAATGGATTCTCACTTGGGGGGCGGCTCAGCCCAGGCTGGCAGGGGGCGAGATGGGGCTGCCTTTCCCTGGTGCTCCAGGTGGGGGAGGGGGCTTCTCTGGAGGGTCCTTGCCCTGCCCGGTGTGCCCGCTGGCTCCTGGGCTCGGCTCGCCTGGCCAAGAGTCCCTCTGGCCCTGGTAAAAAAAGGGGGCTGGCCAGAAACGGGGGGGGGGGGGGGGCCCCCAAGGCGCCCCCCCGGGGGGGGGGGGGGGGGGGGGAGGCAGCCTGGGGCCCTGTGGTGGTTTTTCTCTCTCATGTGCGAATTGGCCTGAAAGCATCCGCAGCCATTTTCTTCCCGCTGGGATCCGTATTGGCCTCGCAGAACCCCCAGCCCTCTTCGACACCGGGAGCCCCCCCACCTCTCTGGGGAGGCCCGTTTCCCATGGGGCGCTTCCATTGGGGGACGGAGGGGTCGGGGCCCTCTGCCCTCCCCGAAGGCCCCAGGTCCCCACCCCCGGGGCTAAAGCCGCCCTGCAGCTCCCGGCCCCCCGTTTGGGACTCGGGATAATACATTATCGATCCGCGCATTTAAGACACTAATGAAACAGGCAGATATCGACAAGGTAATTAATACACTCCGGGAAAGGAGCTCGCAGGAGGAACCGTATTGACCGGCCGGCGCCTGGCTCGCTGCCCAACGCGGCGGCCTCCTTTGCAAGCGGGGCGGGGCGGGGGAGGCTGCCCTGCTCCCAGGGCCTTTCGGGGGGCGCCGGGGGGCTCCTTGGGGCCCGGGCTCAGCCCCCTTTCTCGGCTGGGGGCGCGGGGGCGGCCAGCCGGAGAAGGGGGCCGGCCGCGGGGGGGCAACGACCGGAGCCCTCCTGCTGCCCCGAAGGGGGAGGCCGGGCGGAGGGAGCCCGCTTCCCCGCCGCTGCTCGGGCGGCTGCCGCGAGGGGAGCGGCGTTCCTCCCCGGAGTGGCCTCGCTTTGCCCGGGCTGCCCCGAGCCAGAGTGCCCTGGGCGGGGCGGGCGAGCTGCCATGGCGACGGCGGAAACTTACGAGGCCCCCGAGGCTCGGCCCCGACTCCGCCCGGGGAGAAGAGGCGGCGGGGAGACGCGGGCTGCCAGTTGCAGGCCGGACGCCGCTTCCACGGCCACTCGGGCCCCCCGCAGGCCCCGGCCTCCTCCTCCCCCCGGCAAGGGCGCATCTCCGCCGCAGCAGCCCCGGAGCCCGGCCGGCCTCGTTCCAGGAGCGGGGCTGGAGCGCAGGGAGGGGCCGTCGAGCCTCCGCCCTGGCCGGCGGCCCCCTTCGCCTCAGCCGCGGCTCCCCCCCGCCCCCCCGAGTGGGCCAGGGACGGCGGGAGGGGCCGAGGGCGGAGGAGCTTCCCCGGGCGCGCCGCCCTCCCCTCGCCCCCGCGGGAGGCGTCCGGTGCGGGGTGGGCGGGAGTCCCGGTCCTCGCCGGCCGGGGCGGCTAACCAGCGCATCCGCCTCCCCCCAAAAGGTGCAGCCCATATTTCCCCAATAAAAGGGATCCATTTTCTGCGCGCGGCGGCCTGGCCTATTTTACGGCATCCTATTAAAATGATAAGCAGCCCCGGGCAGGCAGGAGATGAAAGGGAGGGGAGGGGGGACGCGGCGGAGACTGCAAGCCCACCGGGGGCGCCGAGGGGGAAGGGGGCGCTGGGAGGGTCGGGGGCCGCCATGGGCTCCCACCCCCTCCCTCCGGGCCCCATTGCAGCCCACCACACCCGAGGCTCCCCACGCTCTGGGCCCCGGGAAAGGCGCCTGGCGGGCGGCTGGGGCCTTGATCCAGGGACTCGTGGCCACCAGCCTTGGCACTGAGCCATGGAAGCTTCCAGTGGGAGCCCAGCCGAGTTTGGATCCAGCGGTTCTTCTGGGCGCACCCCGACTATCTGGGGCCCCGCTCTGTGGGTTGCGCCGGGCACAAGCCAAGGCCCAGCTGGGCTGCCCCACTTCCCCAGCCACCTCAGTCTGGAAATGGCCCCCCGGCCTGTTTAACTCCAGAATGAGGGATGCTGCCCCAAATTAGACCCCACCCTCCCCAGACAGTCCCACCCACGGGGCCTCATCGTGCCCTCCGCTGATGCTTGGCCCAGGGAAGCGGCGGCAAACAATGGCTGGAGTCAACCTGGAGCGCTGCGGGACAAACGGCGGCCGGCTGGAGGCCTCGCCAGGCCCAAAGAGGAGGAGGAGGAGGCAGCCCTGCGGTGAAGGAGCCAGAGCACTGATGATGTTGCCCAGTTTGGTAAAGAAATGTTTGCGAGAAAAGCACTAAACTCAGGTAGCACCGAGGACCCCACAGCTTTATTGGATCCAGAGCACCTGCAGCCCCACAGGAGCCACCTCCTTGGGCAGAACGGCCCCCTCCCTCCCTTGACTGGGCGTCCCTAACTTCCCTCCCACCCACCCAGGGTTAAGACCGGAAGGGGCTACAGACTAGGGGACCAGCCGCCTCCAGGTGGCAATGGGAGTCCCAGAAGACCAACTGGGACCAGGCCCACTCACGGCCTCCCTGTCCCCTTCCCCCTTGGGCGCAGGGAGCTACCCAGCCAGAAGGCCTGGGGCCCACAGCCTTCCTGCTCTCTGGGCAGGACTGGAGGGTCCTGAAGCAAGGCAGAGGTTTTGAGGAGGGGGACAGCTGAGCCCCCGGGGGGGCGGGGGGAGTGAGAGGTTTGCTGCTGTAACAGCCTTCTGGTTTCTTTCCAGGTGCAATTCAAGGTCAAGGCCTGGCAGGGCCCCTTCCCCAAGGACATCTACCCTACCCTGGCGGGGGAGGGGGAGGGGGGGAGACACACACCTAGTTCCTTCCCCTAAATATTGCCCCCTGGTGGCAGCTAGCAAGCCTGCCCTTTACCTGCCCTCCCTGGAACACTCTGAGCCCCGAAGCTGGGCAGACCTCCCCCCCTCCCCCTTTCCCCTCCCCCCCCAGGCCTTCCATCAAGTTCCGAAGACCCGGCTTTCCCCTCCAAGCACCGGGATAAGATGAGATGGCTGGAAATCCGAAGTATGACTTGCTGCCATTTTTGGTTTTGGTTTTAATGTGTTTATTTTTTATGGTTTTAATACGACTTCTGTCCCTTTGATTGGGAGCTGCCCGGTGTTGGGCCACTAGATAAGTGTTTGGAATAAACCAACGACTGCTTGGGGGCCGCTGGAAACATCCGGAGGAGAGCAGGTGCTTTACCAGAAGAACCGGGGACCAAATTGTCCGCGCCAGGCTAGTTCCCCGTCCTCTAGGGGCAATGCCTGTCCTCCAAGGCAGCGAGACAGAGGGGCAGAGGGGCCGAAACACAAGCAGCCCAGGAGCCCAGCGCCTGTATGAATACATGGGTCCCCCTTGCGCCGAGCCCTTTTGGGGCGATCCAAAGCCCTGGAAAAGGGTTGCTTTTTTTAGCCTCCCTTTTATTCACCTCCCATTCACTGAGCAGCTTTTCTTTTTATTCACTCATTCTTTTCTTTGACAATGCATGCGTGGGGGGGGGGGGCTTCCCCACTCCCCTGTTTAAAAAGCCCCCCTTGGCAATGCTTTCTCTGGGCCGAGGGGGGGAGGGGGAAACGTCTGGCAGGAAGACCTGAGAATCCTGGGACGAAGGCAACCTGGGTGGCCAAGCAGATCCGGGAGTCCTAATCAGAGCCAGCAATGGGACGAAGCTGCTGAAAAGGCCCAAAGTATTTGGAGCTGCATTAAGAGGAGAACCCAGAGAACAGCCCCCCCCTCCCCCTCCCCAAGGAGCTGGGTACCTTTAGCCTGCAGAGACCCAGGGGAGAGGCCCACCTCAAGGGCTGTCCCCCTTGGAAGGGAGTGGGTTGCCCCAGAGGGTGGGAGCAGAGCCCGGGGGTGAAGCCCACCAGGCAGGAGGTCCCGGCTGGATCCTCCAACCTTAGCGACTTTAAGCCTGGCGGACTTCAATTCCCACGATTCCTCAGCCAGTCATGAATGATAGAGTTGGAAGGGCCCAGAAGGACCACCTTGTCCCATGCTTCTTGACCTGGGCAACTTTGAAGACTTTTGGACTTTCACTCTCGTGGCTGGCTGGGGAATTCCTGGTCTGAACGAAGCCGCCTCCTCCTCTAAACCTATGGTCCTGGAAGAAGCCACCATGAGCTGGAAGCCCATCTAACTGCTCTGAACCAGCCACAGTTCGGCAGCACCCACACCTAGAAGGAGCCCATAGCCATTTTGCAGGAGGAAGAGAGCAAAGGAGGAGCCCCCCCCCCCCCCCCCCCCCCCCCCGCCTTCCAAGCTCCCTCTGGCTCCCCTCCCTCCCTCCCCAGATCCTGGGTCTGGCACCCTTCCCACAGCTGGGCATCCAGAGGTGGGATCCCACCGGCATAACAATTGGTGAGCGCGCGCTTTGCCAGAGACCAGAAGATTGCCGCAGCAAACCAGTTTGGAGTCAGCTGCTCTTTGGCGCTGCCGGTTCTACAGAACTGGGCCGAACTGGTAGAATCCCACCCCTGCAAACATCCCCACGTCTCCGCAGACCAAAGGCTCACAATGCTGAGTTCAGGTGGGACTCACAAAGCCGGCGGTGGGCAGTGGTGCATGGATGCCTCCCAGGTCAGCAGAGGGGTTGTGGTGGTGGTGGTGGTGGTGGTGGTGGTTGTGGTTGTGACCGATTCCCCTCACTCTCCCCTCCCGTGGAAAGAGGGGGCCTGGTGAGCCCACTCCTCAACACGGCCCTTTTCACTCATTGACAGAGATTAATTCCTCACAGCAGACCAGGCATTCGCGGTAGAAAAAATCAACCGAAATAAACAAAAGGGAGACTGGCAGAGCCCCCCTCCCTCCCTCGCTCTCCCCCAGGCAGGGTCTTCTGAGCGTGGCCAAGGCCCCTGGGCCGCCCCCCTTTTGCCTAACCCCATCAGACCCCAACGAAGCCCTCCTGCCATCCGGGAAGAGCAGCCCACCCAATGTCCCAGTCTAGAGGAGCCCCCCCCCGCCCCCCCTCGTCTCAGGACCTTCCTTCACCTTCACCTGAAGCCATGATTTTACTCTCCATCCACACCTCCGGCTCCTGCTGCCAGTCAAGCTGGGCCGTCCCCCATTCAGGCTGCTCCGGGCAGGACCCACTCGGGCCGCTCCCTGGACAAGGCCTCCTGGGGTCCAGGTGGGCTTCTGAATCCCTCCCCCGCCCCCGTGAGCTGGTGAGGATGACTGGCTCACCTGCTTCCAGCTGTTGTGCTCCCCCGTCCCCTGCAGGTCCTGCCTCTCACCTTGCAAACGTGCCGCCTTGCCCCCCTGCTGTGCTTCAAGGGGAAATGCCCACCTGGCACGAGGCGCAGTCGGTTCTTGCTAATGGCTGCATTAAGCCACGGCTTATTGACAGAGGGGCTCACCTCTAGTCTGTCACAGATCAAATCCAAAGTATATTCTGGCTTAAGGGTCAGCATTTTCCATCATAAACACTGCATCTGTATTTGGATGGATGAGGACTAGAGGCTTGTTTTCCTTCATGGGGAGGAACATCTTTCAGCCTCTGGGGTTGCATTGATGGGGCAGTTCTCGCTCTCCGGCCAGGGCATAAATCGGTTCTCATGCTCCCGAGACGGGGAGAGCCCAGCAAAGGCCCCTCTGCTCACCACGGTTCCCTCCGAGGAGCTCGGCTGCTGGGCCGCCCTGGGGAAAAGGCCGGGGCTGGGGAGGCAGCCTCATCCCAGGGCCCAGCGGACAAGGTCTGGGGCTGGGGAGAGCAGCCCTCCAGCTGGCCTACTGAGGGGGGCCCAGAGACTGGAGGGGCCTCAAGCCAAGGGCCCAAGGGGGCCACTGCCCTGCTGCAAACCCACTGGAGAGGAAGGGAGAGCCCCCTCCAACGCCCCCTCCTCCACCTCCTCTGAGGCCCTCCTGGCATGTGAACCCACCCACCTCAGGGACCCCCACTCCACGAGATGCTCCCCTGAAGCCAAAGCCCCACAAACAGACCCCAGCCGGAGCTCGCCCTCCCTCCCTGCCTGCCCCACTCCCGGATGGGTCAGGGAAAGAGCCTGCCGCAGCTGCAGGGCCCCCCAAGCCCAGTGGGTCAGCCCCTCCCCCTTGCTCAGTCTGCTCTTGGGGGGGGCTGGTGGGGGGGCTTCCAGGCTCTTTTTCTCTGCTCCCTTCCTTGCTG